TATTTTCCCCCCCCCTCCCCCCCCCCCCCCCAAGCTCTCCAGCTGCAAACAGTGTTTGCAATACAGGATGCATCCATTGCCTGCGCAATTTAATAAGGCTTGAGATTTGAAACGAAGCCCTCTTTCACAAAAAAACCCAGCATCACGTGGTTAATAATTTTAGTTGATTCTAAGAGCGGTCGTCGAAGCTCAACATTAGCGGTAGACTCTTGGTAAGGCAGGACTGTAGTTGAGCACAGCGCAAAAAAGGGTAGCGGGAAATAACGGCTTCTACAGTTGGTGTTGCAGCTGGTGGATAGCTACCCCATTTAGGCAATGACTTTTCATAACCGAGTTGGTGAACAGTTCAGGGGCTGTGTTGTGTTTTCAGGTGAGGAAGCTTCCTTAAAGCACTGAAGTGAAATAACTTTCCTTTTGGCAACGATCATATGTGATTCTTTGTATAATTAACTGTTTCATGTGACACTGGCATTTTCTGGAGACTGGGGAGCCGTGCAATACCTGTTAGGTGATCAACAGGCAAAGTAAATACACAGGCCTCACACTAGCTAGAAAATGCAAACAAACCTAATGTGAACTTTGTCCTTTCCAGTGAGGCAAATGGAGGAAAGATAGAAAACCCGAAACAAAAACAGCAGCACTGCAGAAACCCTTTGCAGTTTGACCAGCAGAACACAGAGCTGTTCCAAATGCAACCGTGTCATAGGTTATGAGCTCTGAGTTTTATTGAATATTAAGGATCCCCACCCCCCAAAACCCCATAATTGTATAAAGGGGTACTTTTTAAAGGTCTGGATGGCATTTGGTATCTGCTTGCTCTTAATAAGACATTTTTCATTTGTATTCCTGGTGGAAAGGATGGTAGAAGCCTTGAGACTATGTACTTGGTGTGCCTACGGATCTCTGCTCTCTTGTATAGATACATACTCCAGCTATTTTGTGTGTGTGTGGGGTGGGTTATGTTTTGAGATTCAGTCTTTGGCATCGCTATATCTCTGATTTCAGACGATGACTTTGTGTGTATATCTATTTTCTTTTTTTCTGCCAAGTGATACATTGGTGCTTAAAAACCTCAGAACATACTGTTCTTATGTAATGAATTGGAGGGAATAATGCAGAAAAAGAATGTTTTGAGTTAATTATTAGATCCAACCTATACGTTTTGAGTTAATTATTGGATACAACCTGTATGGTTTTTAGAGTATAGATTTGTACTGATCCTATTTTCAATTCTTTCTAAGCATGCGGTTCTCACACAGCAGTTTATTTCTAAATCACAAGATAGGGGGACTAACATTATGAGCTCATGACTGGCAGAGAAAAAAATTGTACACATGGATGAAATTCGAGTTTAAACCTAACGAGGAGAGAAGTAATATTCATGTGTGAATTGCAACTGCTATTAAAAGAGAAAAACTACTGGCTATTCAACATTTAATTATGTCACAGAAGCGTGAATACCCTGATTTATATAAACAGAACCACTCCTGTAATCTTGAAATCAGTCATCAGTAGTTGAGTTAGAAGGAGCTCTGTTTGGTGGATTTCTTTAATTGCAGAGCATTCTTGAAAAGCTCTCTTCAGTCAAAATTTTGGAAACATAAGCCCACTTATGAGACTCGTCAATTTGATTTTTAGCAGGCAAAGGAAAGGTAAGGGGCAGTAGACATAGGTGGAAAATAAGCTTGAAGTGAATTGTAATACTGCAGTTAATTAAAGTTAACCATAGCTACGGGGCATTTGTTGTATGGAGATTTTTTTGTAACCATGTGACCTTTTCTTTTACTCTGGCTCATTAAGGAGCCAGTCTGGGCATATTAGCCAGCATTTCTTCGAACCCACTCCATAGGTTTTTCTCTTTCTGGAGAGGTCCACAGCTGACAAATATGCTGTAACCTTTTTTCCGAGGAGGAGGAAAAGGGAGCTGCTGAGCGAGTCTCATGTACAGAGATTCAGCTGATTTCTGTATTTTACAGTAATGCTCCCCTCCCCCATATTTGCCAGTTATTTAAGGTAAAGCCCAATGTTTGCTTGAATAAATCGTGTAAGTGAATTTATTTGTCCAGGTGGTCATTTGTTGTGCTCTCATTCCTTCTTGTAATGAGGAAGTATTTAAATGGTTTATTTTCCCAAGGAGGGTGGTTTTTTTTTCCAGCTAGATTATTCTCGACATTTCTTTTAATAGCCTTGTAGCCTATTTTCTAAGAAATGGGTTAGAACATGCGTGTCACTGGATGTTTGTTTTTTAAGCATTGGCAGCTCTGTGTGAGTTGGAGATGGAAGTGTTTATGTAGTGAAGAGATGCTATGTCCGTTTGGGGGAAATACTACACAGTTCCATCAGGAGCTTGAGTTCACCAATGCTAACTGGTGTCATTTAGTACAAACCTTGTTATCTTTTTTATTTGCTTAGCAATGTTGTGCATATGAGCATATGCCTCCCCTTTAACATTTGAGCTCCAAACTAGTCAGGACTAACATTGTTTTGAAACTGCAATCTCTTCAAATAGGCTGGCTGCCAGCATAGCTTTGCAGAGCTGCAGCAGTCACTGGAAAAAGGGTTGTCTGCTTCTTTATGTGTCTTGCGAGCTGAGTTTTTCTTCCCCTCAAGGGAAAGGGCTTTGTCCCCTCAGAGCTCTCAGGTTCCCAGCTTACTATGCAGTAGTCGCTTTGCAGCTTCCCTCTTCCCTAGGTCTTGCCATTTTCTTTTTTTGTGATATGCAGCCATTCTCCATTCATAGTAGGATGGTTTGTGTTGTGCATTAGCAGCCTCTTTCTCTGCCAAAGTGACACATCCTGTAGATTTGCAGCAGAGTACTGAACTGTCACTGTAATGCTGACTCTTGTAAGGCTATTCCTGAAGCAGAACAGCTTCCCCCTTGGCATTCAGCCATCAGAATCCGTTACAGCATGCATTTTCTACCCAAAACATAGCTCTGTACCTACATAGTTGTCCTTACAACCATCCCCTGGAAGATGCAGAGGGCATAGTTATACCCTCCTGTATAGAAATAGGCACTGCTGGATTTATTTTCAAAGTGTCTGAAAACCGTGTACTGAGCTTTTGTTGTTTCAGCCCCTGCCTTAAAACCTGTAATGCAGACTGGGAAGGGGAATGCCTCTGCTGATGGGGTGATGTGAAAAGAACTGCAGACAAGGTCTTTTCCCTGGTGTATGTCTTAAAAGAAGGATTAGGTGTGCGTGCACTGAGCAAGGCTACTACTGGGCTCCTCTGACCGAAACATCTCCCTCTCCACGTGTTTGCCACAGGGCAGCCCAGCCCCATGCTGCCGGCCCTGACTGGGAGGCTTTGCAGGAACCCAGCTCTTCTCCCTGGGAACGGGCTCGCCTACCTCCGTGAGAAGAAACACGGGAGATTACGTGTCATTTCAAGTTTCTGACAGCAAACCCACTCTCTTTCAGCCATTCAGGGAACTGTAGAGTGAAAAGCAGAAGGGAGCAGTTAGACGTGTGAATGGGAGGGGGAGGATGCTCGTCACCAGTCTGTCCGGCCGGTACGGTCTCTGACTGGTTGGACTGGCTGAGCTACTTGGGGCTAGGTAGGTTCAGGATTGCACAGTCTGACTACTGTGCTTGGCTCCACGAAATGAACCTTGCTGGTATCAGTGTGCGTTGCTGACAGTGGCTGCAGCTACTCTGAAGTGTCCTTCTCTCTCCCCTCACTGACACACAGCCACACAGCCCTGCCTGCTGCTGGGCTGAGATTGCGTTCCCCTCACTGCTGTGTGCCTTGCCTTCCCGATGCGCCCTTGTAAGGTTATTTGGAGGCGGTGGGAGCAGGGGTGGAGGTGAGGAAGGTCAAGCTTCTTAGGTTTCAGCTGATTCGGCATCCGCTCACAGCCCTCCCCCCCCCCCCGACGCCCCGGGAGG